ACCTTTAAGAAGATCTTGATGGAATTTGAGAGCATAAATTGAATGATCATATAGTATCTTGTAGAATATTTCATTTCAATGCAAGTTTTTAAATAAATCATTAAAATTCATTCTTTATAAATATGTAAACTTAGTCACTTACAACAAAGCTGCATTATTACATAAAATAAAAATGGAAAAAAATATAATACTTGAAACATCTGAATCTACTTTCAGTTTATAAAGTATTCATTATTCTATTCTAAGGTCTTATTATTAACTTAAATTTGTGATATTCTTTAAATTAGTCATATTGAATTTTCATTGGGTTTCCAACTAAAGAATGTGTTATTGTTAAGATGGATATTCCTTATACCAAATGATTATAATTCTTTCTTATTTTGCAATTTGAAAGTTTATTTTAGAATACATGCCATTGAACACCTTGCACTTTATCATCAGTTTTAGATGCTATAATGAATAATACTTTTCTCTGTTCTCAAATCTAATTATCTAAGTAAACTAAGCTAAGTTTAACATATATATTTGTAATAGTTCTATCATATGTTAACCAACAGAGTCTCTTCAATTAAAAGTAGGAACAATGAAACAAAAAATAATAGAATACAAATCTTCTAGCGTATAGCACTTTAAAGCAAAAGATTCAGTTTATCATTGAATTCCTGACAATTTATTAATACAAATTTTTAAAGATTTAATAAGAAATACAATGATACAAAAATGAGTTGTTGTTTTCATTTATTATTTGAATGTTATCAGAAACCTGAGTTTCACTTGTTATTCTATGTAGTCTAGACTAATATATTCTCTTCGTAATATGGTACTATATAAAACTAAGGTCATAAACTGGAAAAAGTATATCACTATCATAGATACTCACAAATCTATTCAAGTGTATTGATTTTAAATAATCAATTTTTAAACCACTACAAACACTTATTGAAACTTCCCATTTTCATAGTATGAGAATCATGCTTAAAGCTCTGAGTGGACTTGATATATAGGAATTTAATACTACAATAGGAATTTAATACTTTAATACTACTAAACTAATAAAAATGGCTGATTTTAAATATTTTATTTTTTTAATTAATACAGCTACTTTTAACAAAATTAATGTTGTTATTTAATTATTAGCATTCATATAGTATATCTAGTTACATAGTACAGGTTGGTTGGCATATTGCAATTCTTATGTTAATAATATATCAGTATTTTTGGATATGAAAATACAAATTGCAAAATAATAAAGGTTAGTCAGTTTCTATTGGTATAAGGAATTTCTGTAGTTTAATATCATTCCAGTGTTCCATACTGTTCAGTTATCCTGTGCATTAAACTCTAATGTAATGTTGATATTTGATTTCGATTGAATCTTATACTAAAAATATACTTGCATGAGGTTTATACTAATTCAACACCTATAATTACAGTAGTACTGAAGTATTGTACTTTCTATTTCTATGATAAGGTAGAGCAATCATTTTTTATTGTGTATTTATTGTAATTTTCATTTTAATTTCAGATATTGAACATTTTTTATTTTATGAAGTATGTATAATTTTTTTCGTTTTTTATAATATTTAATACATGTATATGTATTCATAAATTTAAAGAAGAATTATTAAAAACAAGAATATTTTTAAATAATGACCAAAATAATATATAAATTTATAAAAATAATCGTTTTTAAAAATGATATATAATAAAACTATTTTAGTAATGATTAAATTCAAAAATGACAAATAATTATTAAGCATATTTATTTTTAATGCGATAGTTTAAGTGTTAAAACAATAATAATTAATCAAATAAACTTAACTACAATAATATAAATATTAAATATATTTAACCATTTCTTCATAAATAACTATACATTAGGAAGATTTTCTTCATTTTCTTCATGTATATTTTTCATTTCTTTTTATCATTGTTCCATTTTATGAGAAAATAACAACAAAACTAGATTTACATTGCGTACTTAAATTTCTTTGTGATTTCAAAGTCTATTCATCAGTTATTTATTCGTTTTTCCAACAATTTAAAAAATTAATTATTCAATTATATAATTTTTGATAATTAGAATTTTTTAAATAAATTATTTTATACAAAAAGATAAATACAAATTTGTTTACAGAAACAAAATTCTTCGGTTTAAATCTTTTTTATTTAAAAAAATTTAATAATTCTATTAGATTATATAATGAATTACAAAGTAGTTATTGTACAATATTATCTTTAATCAATATGTTGTTTCTGATAGAATAATTCAGTACCCTTTCCTTGCTTTCGTTTTTCATTTTATTATTAAGCCAACAAATAAATTTAAATCGCAGAATAAGAATACAATATCATCGCTGTTTATTCATTGTACAAACATTATTTTTTTGTATAATGGAACAGTTCTGAGATAAGAAAAAAGAAATTCACAAAAGTTTTCAACCATTTATAATCAAAATCCATCCATTTATACATAGATGTGTATTATCATTTTTCCATTAACATATATATGTACATTTCATTATTTATTTACATAAACTTAAGTATATTGTATATGTATGTACAGCGTGATTCTCAAAACATGAAACATTCAAGTAATTTTACACTTGTTCAGATAATGTATAGTAAAGTCAATGATAAATAATAACGAAATGTCTAGTCTTGAAAAATAAATAGTAAAAAAATTTTATGACAAGTGTTAATTTGCTGTAACTGATACTGCAAGTTCAGTTGATGACAGTGAAGTAAATATAATGAATAAGAGTATACTGGATGAAGCAAAATATATTGAATCTATGTAGTCAGTAGAAATGAAAATTAAAAAAATTTAATATTCAATTAATGTAGCAAAACAGCGAGATATTAATGAATTTATGCTGGCCAATATTAAAGATGTATCTTCTGGAAGAAAAAGCTAATAAAATCAAATAATTTTACAAAAGGAGTTTATGAGGTAAAAAATAAAAAAATTCTATATGAAAATGGAGGAAGAAAGAGAAAAACTATAATTTACTAAAGTTTTCTGAAAATTATTCAAATTACTTTCAACATATTTCTTATATTTTCAAATTAGAATTATTTTATACATAAATTCTTTTAATGATTAATGCGTTATAACAAACTCTGTGCATACATTACAATATAATGAGTTACAAAATGTGAATACTAAATATAAGAAATACATGTTATATTTAATACAGAATATCACAAAGAAAGGTTATAATCATTGAGGGTGCATAGTACAAAATCAAACATAAGCATAAAATTATAAATTCATCTGTGATAAAACTAATACTTTCAGAGTTATATTACATTAATATCTTTACCAAATAGAGATGTTAAAGCATGATACATCTATTATAAATCTTAATTTTTTTCATATGTACTTTATCATTTTTTTATATGCCAAAAAACATTTTTTTAAATATTTACTGATTTATCTTTAGCATATTGGTAAACATTTCTTATCAATTATAGTTCATTGTAGTTTACTTATAATATTTATTGATTATCAGTCTCAGACAGTAAAAGTAAAATATACTATTTGTAATGTACATAAAAATGTTAATTAGATATTACCATATAGTATGGACTTTAACTATAATATATTATCTAATGAAGTAAGAATGCTATCTCTAAAAGTGTTAGTTTCAATATACAAAACAATTTTTTTGTCTTTCATCAAATACTATATATTCTCAAAGTGTACAATTCTTTTGACATCCTGTATTATATGTAATATATACAGAATATAAAACGTATTAAAAAAATATTACTTGTTATGTACATTTTATTTTCTTTATTTATATTTAATTCTCTTTATATGCATAAGTTTCTGATTATTAAATTACATTGGAGCGCCCCAAAATTTTATATATATCCGCTTTTTATCCTCTTACAAAATTGAACAACCACTGCCTGCATTGGTGAACTAAATAAGTATGTTAACAAATCATTAAAAAAGAAAAAAACGGGAGATAGGGCAAAAGAGAGGTGACATGTGTCTGTTGCCAGGCTGAGCATGGAGGTGTCGTGTCGCAGATGGCAGACCCCAGCCGTGAGGAAGAACAAGTCACTCTCTTGGGTGAAGAGGGCCTCCGCGCTGGCGGCCAGGCTCTCAAGCTCGGGTAATTAAATGTGGTGTAAATTCGAACAATGTAGAGCGTGATGATTCGCAAATTTTCTTGTGACAAGCGCAAAACTTTAACGAAATATATTATAATTTATAATGCAATTATGAGTGAAATTATATATACAAAATTTTGTTTTTAATATTTTCTCTCTCTCTATGACTCTCTACTATGACTGATGAAATAAAAGCTCTTTTATTTGTAAAAAATTGTCTGTTTTTTAAAAATTTTTTTTTCTGTTTTATTTATTTCTTTTCTAATATTGAAATTTTTTTTGCTTCGTTAATTCTAGAGTGCATATGTAAATAATATATTTATGAATGTTGGAAACACGAATACAAATTACCTTTTTTTTTCAAAAGCGAGCCGAGTCAATGCAAATGACGGAGATATTGAAATAGTTATAATAAACTAGTAAAAGTACATCTTTTAGATCATCTTTCTCATGGTGGTAGTAATATTACAATATATTAGATCGTAATTAATTAGTGTTATAAATATTCAAATCGTATAGATCATTTTAATTTGAAATTTTTAAAGAAATCCTTACGTTCTACATTTCAGACACCAGTGACTAAAAATCATATTTGTACGACATAAATGTTCTATAGATTTACTTGTAAAATTTCTATAATTTTTTTTTTATTGTTTTTTGTTTTTATAATATAAAATAATAATACTGAACGCTTAAAATGAAGCATTAAATCTATGGATACATTTGTACATACATTTTAATCAAATTAGGATTTATTAATCCATAATCTGCAAATATTGCAGAGCTTCTGATAAATGTTTTCTGTGCTATTAGGCTATGTACAAATATAGATTTAAGTAGAAGGCATGATGCGTCAGTGTGTTCTGTGGTTACAGCACCTGTACACTACGGCAGACACCATAGGAGCACACTATAGGAATCCCCTCAGGCAAGCTGTTATCAACCGTTATTTGCATTTACAAATCTGTTTTGCTCAGTGTTTTTTGTCTGTAGATACCTAAAATCCTTTAGCCCAGAAAGAGCACTAATATTATAGTCGCTAAAACATTTATTTATTTTTAAAAAAGTTACAATTAAAAGGAATAGTTTTAGAAAAAATATTTATTATTATATATTAAGATTTGTTAATAAGATTTTAATAATAAATTTCTGTCACTGATGATATTCACGAATTTGCTCATATGTGAGCAATTTATTCGTTGCTTGGAAAATAATTTATTTAGATAATAATTTATTTGCTTCGAAATTAATTTATTTTGTTATATTTATGTACAATATAACGTATTTTTAAATCGACAACTAGGGATCATAGTTATGAGATTGCTCATTTCAGCTAAATTTTATTTAAAAAATCTAGAGTTACAATGAACAGACAAATCAGTATTATTTTTAGAAATATTTAATATTATCTTTTGTATTATGTTCTGTATTTGCAAATGTATCTGATCAGTAATCATAATTAGAATTAAATATTATGGTATCAAAGTTTAATGCTAGGGATTTTATATTGCGCAATTTAATAACTATTTAATAACTGCACTATTTTATCATTTAATATAAAATATAAAAACGATAATAATCTATAGTTATATATACACTATATCTTATTACTATTCTAAGAAAAACACCAATAGTGCGGATCTATACTATTGATTTACTGATACTACAATCAGTAGTCATAAAAATCATATTAAAGAGGAATAAATACAAAGTTGCATACATGCAATGCAAAGTTTACATATGTGCAGTTTTTTTAAATATATCTTTGTACAATGTATTAAACTCATTTTATAAAAATACAATACAAATTAATGCGTATTATTATTCAAATTAACCGCGTATAATTACATTGCGCAAACGCTGTGTGGATCAGTGCAACGTAATACAGCGCTGTATATTTTACTTAACTCTAGCTACTGCAACATAATTTGAAGAGTCAATATATATTACATCAGATAATTGATAATAAATTATGATTGTGTTTAAAAAATAATATAAATATTTAATAATTTTTATTAAGTTTGATGTATTAAAACATTAAAAAATTACTCAGAAATGAGCAGAATCTTTTGTTATTAATGTGCATTAACTAAAATGTACATATAGTGAAAATGTGCTTATTTTTATACTAAATTCATTAAAAACAAAAGAATGTAGTTAAGAGTGACAATCTCATAGCTATGATTTTCCCTTGAACAAACAACGCATATTTTTTAATATTATCGTTTCTTTTAACGAAAAATCCATTGTTATTACAGTATAAAACAGTTTGAAAATAATTTGAAAAAATAGTTTAGTATCAGTTGTAAAGACAAATATTTAGTTTCATTTGAAAATGGGCTTGAAATATGATAAATAATTCAAAGTAAGTCAAAATGTATTAATTGCAACAACACCAATTTGTATTATAAAAGAATTTTTATAATGGCAAAATTTTATTATAAATCATTGCTTGTTATATCAGAGATTGTTGAAAAGTGAATTTTTATAATATATAGAAATCTATAAATAAATTGTGCAAATAAATTTTTTACTTATAAAAATTTCGCAAATAGTTACTAGTTAATTCTATTAACGTGCATTAGTTCAAGCGGCTGACTGTAGTCGGCGCTCGTATCCACATATCATTTTGCTGATGTCGGTTATAGTTGTTGTTAAAAGCGCAAAATTGGTATCGATAACAGAACATATTTTTTGATCTAATTAATATTTTCTACGGTCTTATATAATACTGCAACGGAATTCTTGGGGCAGATCTATTTTTCTCTTTTCCCTCTCTTTTTAAATAGATATAATAATCAAGTTTTGTATTTTTAAATAGTTTTCTTCATTTTTAAGCATATTCTTAAAATTTTTTCTTATTTTATTTTTTTTAAAGGATAGATTAGTTTAAGAAAAAAATTAAATCCATCTATGCATTTGTTAAAAAGATCTACTATAATGATTAAAGATCATACTATAGAATGGAAGAAAAGATAAGTAAACAATATGATTTTTTTGTCACTTAAAATAATTTTATAGGTCCTGAGTTATTAGAATTATCCTGTATATATGTACATTATATATATGTACCTCTATGTTATAATGTGTTTATCTAGTTACATTATGCACATGAGTTTTATGATAATTATACTGTAATAATCTGTAACTTTTTGCATCCCTAATTTAAATTCTGCACAATGTAATGAAGTTATCTATCTCTAAAATTACAAACACACCTGCAAATATAATTCTTTACTTTCAATTTAATAATAAATAGTACTTACATCTAAGATGCAACAAATTTTTTAAATGTAGAAGAGCACATGTAATAGAACACATTAATAATAATTAACTACATCATTCAAATTTTGTACAAAGGATATTATTGTATATTTATGATACTTTTTATATCTATACTTCATATATTTTATATAAAATTCCATTTTTTCAATTAAGAATAGAAAAAAAGATTTATTGATTTTATCTATAAACAAATTGGTGTAATTTTAACATAAATGCTAAGATTTATATATGTACTTATATTTGTTAATTATACTAATCCTTACATTTTAAGCCTTATTTTAGTGGAACATTTTCGATCAAGTTTTGACTTCTTCTTATTAAGATAATTTTATATATGTTATATAAAGTGACCAAAAATGTTTCAGCTGAAACCAAAATTTAAAACTCATATTAAAAACTTTTTGAAAGAGTAGACATTTTTTCAAGCATCGAGATGTAAAATTGCCTAATATTTATGGTTGCATCAAGTGTAGTAATACCTCGTTAATATTGAAATATTTAAATTTGTTTAACAGGTATTAAATTTTGAAATTTTTTCGTCTCAGATCGGTAAAATCAACATAAAAATGTAACAAATGAGCAAGAGAAAAAAGGCAATATTTTATAATACTTGATATTCAAAATTAATAAATAATCAATTATTACTTCGACTGATGGATAATAAAATTTTGGTTATTTTTATCTTTACTCAATAAAATGGAATCATAATAAATTGATAAGGTTTCCATTTAAAGTAAATTTTAATGCAGATTCAATCGGATTATTTATGTAAATGATTCGTCAGTTAATAAAATTCTGAAAATGAAATATATTTGTATTTAATACAAAATAGTAAAATTAAATTAGTACTTGGACTCACCTTAGTCTCTTTATTAAGAAAGGGAGAAAATTATAAAAATTTCAGTTTTGGTTGAAGTAAAAATTTGTAACGACTATAAATTAAATTTAACAATCGATAATTTTTCATCTGAATGATTTTTGAAAATTGTTAATAACAATGGAATCAATATTATCGAGGTATTGTATCAGGGCAGTTTATAATTGTGAGAAATTGAAATATATGTGAATTCTTCATAATTTAAAAGAAATAGCAAATTCTTTCCTATTTTGCATTTAGAGATTTCTTTTCAAGATATAAACAATGAACTGAGCACTTGAGGTAATGTGCATATATTTGTGCAAGAGGTATGTGTAAATCGTATGTATAGAAATATATTTATAGTCTAGTAAGATAAACTCACTTCCAATGAAATAATGTGACTCTTTTACTTCTCAACAAAATGTTCATAATATGTAAAATTTGTTGAAAAGCTAGTTATCCTTTGAATATAGACAGCTTGTTATTTCCAAATTAATTAAAATTAAATCATATTTGACACTTTGAAGCAGGTTTGCAATGGTAATAAAACAGTGATTAATTTTAGGTACTTCGAATTTTCTATTACTATTATTAATATTTTGACCACAAAGAAATATTATTGATAAAATGTTGATTGTTACAATAATCATTAAATTAAAAAAAAAATTCTTCTCAAAATGCAATAATTAAAAAATTCTAATTTTTATTGTATTAATAGATTTATATGTATTTCAAAATGTAAGATATGATTTATTTGTTAATATCTCATAAATTATGAACCACCTATATGAAGAGGAATGTACAAATATATTCTATTTTTCATGTTTTATAAATTGATAAAATTTCACTATAATATCTGAAAGAAAAACTTAGGGATTTTATGATTAAGAAAATTATCTAGAATCTGGATTTTATGAATTAAGGGAAATCCCCGGGTGTCTAGTCTTTAGGGACTAGAGGGAACTAGTAGTGCTTTTCTTGCCGTAAAGGTGGTAGAAAATAATTTTCTGATATAATATATAACACCAGAAGTCACATTTGAAAATTTGTGATGTTTATATCTTGAAAATGAATTTACGAATTACAAAATAGCAGGAAACATTCCGATTTCTTTTATTTCATAAAAATGGTATGTTTCGATTTTCCCATAATTTTAAACCATCTGTAACACATGCATCTAAAATCTTACATATGCAACCATGGTGAAATATTTTTAATCAAAGTGATATATAAGTGACAGTAGCTGTAATTAATAATTAATTAATTTTACATACTACTGCTCAAAGTATCCGGACACTTGTTTATATTTAGAGAATATAATCTAATTACAAAAAAGTATAATAGGATCTGCAATCATTTTATCCTTTATATCATAACTACGTATTATAGAATATGATGAATAAATCTGATTTTTGTAACTAATGTTTATCAACAAACTTAGCATTAATTGTTAAACCTTATGAAACTTCATATTTGGATTTTTTAATTTCTAGATTATAAATCAAATAAAGGAAGTTCTAAACTGATAGAAAGACTATTTGAGATATCTAATACCACATTTGCAAATCACATATTTAATGGTTATATACTAAAAGTAAAATTATATTAATATTATCAGTAATATTAATAAAAAAATTTAAATTTTAAATTTAAATTTTGATATCTACTATTGTAAAAAAGATAATAAGTACTACCTCTAATCATTAATTTATCATTAATTTACACATTTTAACAAGATTCACGTATTATTATTGTAAATTATCCGAAGTGTCCATATACTTACG